ACACACCGGAGGTAACTAATGTGGTCTACCAGAAATGACATCATTGTGTTTTTCTTCTCATGTTTCTACTATGATGTTATGTTCTTCCTGTTCTTCCTCTCTCTCTTTCCTCTCTGTCCTTCCTCTCTGTTTATTCTCTGTCCTTCCTCTCTGTCCTTCCTCTCTGTTCTTCCTGTCCTTCCTCTCTGTCCTTCCTCTCTGTCCTTCCTCTCTGTTATTCCTGTCCTTCCTCTGTCTTTCCTCTTTGTCTTTCCTGTCCTTCCTCTCTGTCCTTCCTCTCTGTCCTTCCTATCTGTCCTTCCTCTCTGTCTTTCCTCTCTGTCCTTCCTCTCTGTGTTTCATCTCTGTCCTTCCTCTCTGTTCTTCCTCTCTGTTCTTCCCGTCCTTCCTCTCTGTCCTTCCTTTCTGTCCTTCCTCTCTGTCCTTCCTCTCTGTTCTTCCTGTCCTTCCTCTCTGTCCTTCCTCTCTGTCTTTCCTCTCTGTTCTTCCTCTCTGTTCTTCCTGTCCTTCCTCTCTGTCCTTCCTCTCTGTCCTTCCTGTCTTTCCTCTCTGTCCTTCCGCTCTGTTCTATCTGTCCTTCCTCTCTGTTCTTCCTCTCTGTCCTTCCTCTTTGTCTTTCCTCTCTGTCTTCCTGTCTGTCCTTCCTCTCTGTGTTTCCTCTCTGTCCTTCCTCTCTGTCCTTCCTATCTGTTCTTCCTCTCTGTTCTTCCTATCCTTCCTCTCTGACCTTCCTCTCTGTACTTCCTCTCTGTACTTCATCTCTGTCCTTCCTGTCTTTCCTCTCTGTCCTTCCTCTCTGTCCTTCCTGTCCTTCCTCTCTGTGTTTCCTCTCTGGCCTTCCCCTCTTGCTTTCCTCTCTGTCCTTCCTCTCTGTCCTCCTAGCTCTCATTGTGCTCATAATGCTGTCCATCTTCTCTCCTCCCTCTGACTCCCTTCTTCCTTTCTGTTTTCTGTGTTACTATCGTCTCCATCCCTCCTCCCTCACAATGCTCTCCATCTTCTGTCCATCTCTCTGTCCATCCGCTTGCCTCCCTGTCCTGTATCTATCCTGTACCTGTTACTGACAGAGTGTAGTTCAGTAACCATCAGACCCAGAACTACAGCTGAAACACAGATATTCCTGGTTCTGAAACAGTCAAACAGCACACTTCACTAATCACTGACCTGTTATCACTGATATACTGAGCATCCCTATTCCCCCTACACCCCCCCAACAAACACTCACACACACACCTTTCCTACTCCTCCCCTCCTTCCTCCCACCATTCCTTGTCTGTCTGTCTGTCTTCTTCTAACCATCTGCCACACACAATTAATCTCACCTGTCGCAGGTAGTGTTGAACATAGTTTTGGAATGGGTAGACTGTGTTAATTCTCATAGAAATAGGGGACTATAATATTTATGAAGCCCTATAGGGTAATATGAACTACCTTATATATAATATAATTTGAACTCAGTTTGCCTATGAATTGTAGGCGTTGGCCTACATATCACAATATTGTAACTATTACACTGTTATAACTCAGGGTTTAAATCAGGACTGTCAGTTCTGTCCATGACAATATTCGGCCACATATTTTATATGACTGTTTTGGAGCACTTGTTGGCCTTTTTGGGCAAGGTTGTGATTGTATGAAGATGATTTTGTTTATGAAATAGTTACTATTGAGAAAAAGTTATGATGTTTTATGTTACCGAGTATGACAGGAAATGTTCTACAATCACAAATAGGTATTGATTCTAAATGTAGGTGGAGTAGTCTCCATTGTTGGTTCTACTGTAGCTGTGGCTTGGCTATAATGTCTAAGTCCACTAGATGTCACTGTTGTCACATCTATGCTTTCTGTCAAGACTCACAAATATCAGTCACAAATATTCTATAAACATTCATGTCCCGTTTGTCCCAAAACTTTCAAATAGTTTCCTTTTCTTTTTTTCTGTCACATGGCAACCAAGATACTGCAGAAGATAAGGAAAGAGGGCTATATGAGATGTTTATAGTGTGTCATTGTGTTCTACTAACCTTTCCTCTCCTGTAGTACCCTCTGCCCTCTGACCTTTCCTCTCCTGTAGTACCCTCTGCCCTCCGACCTTTCCTCTCCTGTAGTACCCTCTGCCCTCCGACCTTTCCTCTCCTGTAGTACCCTCTGCCCTCCGACCTTTCCTCTCCTGTAGTACCCTTTGCCCTCCGACTTTTCCTCTCCTGTAGTTCCCTCTGCCCTCCGACCTTTCCTCTCCTGTAGTTCCCTCTGCTCTCCGACCTTTCCTCTCCTGTAGTACCCTCTGCCCTCCGACCTTTCCTCTCCTGTAGTACCCTCTGCCCTCCGACCTTTCCTCTCCTGTAGTACCCTCTGCCCTCCGACCTTTCCTCTCCTGTAGTACCCTCTGCCCTCCGACCTTTCCTCTCCTGTAGTACCCTCTGCCCTCCGACCTTTCCTCTCCTGTAGTACCCTCTGCCCTCCGACCTTTCCTCTCCTGTAGTACCCTCTGCCCTCCGACCTTTCCTCTCCTGTAGTACCCTCTGCCCTCCGACCTTTCCTCTCCTGTAGTACCCTCTGCCCTCCGACCTTTCCTCTCCTGTAGTACCCTCTGCCCTCCGACCTTTCCTCTCCTGTAGTTCCCTCTGCCCTCCGACCCTCTGAGGAGACAAAGCTGAAGGGCTGTCCTGCAGTACCACCCTCTAAAATTCCAATAGATTTTACTCCTTGGGGTGATAACTGACTGGGCTATAAGGACAGAGGGTATTGTCGGTTTTGGGCATTGGTTGAGGCTCAGAGTGCAGTGTGCCAAGACCAGACATATCAGAATACTGTATTGGGCGCTCACTCCCACATGGACCACTTGACCCTACGCCCTATGCTCTTGTGGATATCTTAGAGCAGGGTTCCCCAACTGGCGGCGGTTTAATTGCCCTCCCCCTCCCCATGTTTTCTAAGAAAAAAATATATAATAATAATAATAATAATAATAATAATAATAATAATACTTATTTTTTTCTTCTAGTTGATGAATCTAGTTGATGATCCCTGTCTAAGAGGATTTGATTGGTATAAGCAATATGGTGAAACCTACACCTAGTGTAGGGTATAGTGGTCGATTTGGGATTGGCCCTAACACATTGGGCAACCATGGTTGTACCCAGTGCCCTAGCTGAGATAAACTGGACCCTACGACTGCTGCTGCTGTAAAACACATGCTGTCACTGAATCTCTTTGGAAACAGATACTCTTGACACATATCTGAATCTGAAATTGTTCTCTTGTGCAATAAACATACAGCAATACACTTAATAGTTGACCTATAAGTTCAATGTACTGCAATTTCAACATTACGTCTGTATCACAATGAGGCAGAGAGGGTATTGGGAGCATGCTGGTCTAACAATGAACTCTGACCTTCATGGCTCTTGGCCATCCTCACCCAGTCACCCCACACTAACCTGTCTCCCCCCTCTCACCCCCTTATGTCCCCCTATAACCCCATCCCCTGTCTCTCACTCTCTCCCTCGCTGCCTCACCCCTCTCCCTGTCCATCCTTCCCGCTCCTCTTCCACCTTTCTCCCTTTCTATCAAATAGCTGAGCTACATCCCTGCCGGCCATTCCCTCCCCTACCCTGGACGACGCTGGGCCAATTGTGCGCCGCCCATGAGTCTCCCGGTCGCAGTGCTAACTGTGCCACTAGAGATTCTGGTTCGAATCCAGGCTCTGTCGCAGCCGGCCGCGACCGGGAGACTCATGGGCGGCGCACAATTGGCCCAGCGTCGTCCAGGGTAGGGGAGGGAATGGCCGGCAGGGATGTAGCTCAGTTGATAGAGCATGGCGTTTGCAACGCCAGGGTTGTGGGTTCGATTCCCACAGGGGGCCAGTATAAACAAATATGTATTCACTAACTGTAAGTCGCTCTGGATAAGAGCGTCTGCTAAATGACTAAAATGTAAAATGTAAATGTATCAAACTCTCACTTACTTCCTCACCCTTCCTAATCCCTCCCCCTCCCCCCTCCCTTCCCCCTCCGCCTCCCTCTCCCCCTCCCTCTCCCTCTCCACCTCCCCCTCCCTCTCTGCCTCCCTCTCCCCCCTTCCTTCACCAGGTAGCAATATCTAATGACTCCCAGGAGGCCCTGTGTTCTGACGGAGGGGAGGGTAAGGAGGTAGTCCTCGATGTAGCTTCCCTAGCCCTCTCCCTTTCCTCCTCTTCCTCTTCCTCGTCCTCCCATCTTCATCACCAGCCTGCTCTCCGGCTGGTCCCTGCCACCCCAGGGGCATCCCCTCAACCGTCGCGCCCCAGCAGTGTCCACACCCAGCACACCTCCTCCCCCTCCTCCCCCTCCTTACCCCCTCCTCCCCTTCCCTCCACTCGCCCCTGGAGAGAGGAAGAGGCCTCGGCCGATCAGGAAGTGTCGTTAATCACCAGAGCGGGGCTGGCGGGAATTGAGGATGTCATCGGGGTCGGATTGGGGTCAGAGGACGGAGGTCTCGAGGGCAGTTACCAAGGTTACTGGGTTGGTCGTCGTGCGGGGTGCGGGCCGTGCCTGAGGCAGTTGAAGAGGTTCCACAGTGCTGACACCCAGGGGCGGAGCGTCCTTGCGCCCCGGCCACGCCCACTGTCCTGGTTGGACGATCTTCGTCGCCACTCAGTGGAGGTGTGTTCGTCTGTAGAGTCCAGCCCACAGCGCAGTACAATATCCACATCCTCAGGGTTCGTCTCCCGAGCAGACAGCCTCCAGATCCAGTCCCAGACCACCACACAGACCCTGCCCTCTCCCCGACGCAAGAAAAAGATGAGCCCCCCGTGTATCTCCGTAGACCCCCCTGATGGACTGGAGCCCCAGTCCGGCCTCCACCCTTCCCCGGGAGGGTTGGGGGGCCTGGGGATGCCCCCTCCCTTACCCGGCCGGGATACCTCCTGTCTAAGGAGACGGGCTCCCTCCAGTGACTCCAAGGACTCCTTTGACCTGGGGGTAGGGGAGGGGCTGGGGCTTGGGCTGGGCCAGGAGGGAGGTGGGTCCAACCCCAACCCCAAGCTGTTGACTCTGCCGAGCTTCTCCTTTGAGAAAACAAGCTCTGAGCACTGAACACTGACACACACACTGATGTACACACAAACACTTATGCACACACACACACAGATGAACTACACACACATGCACATAGGCAAACAGCCACACACATGCACATAGGCAAACAGCCACACACATGCACATAGGCAAACAGCCACACACATGCACATAGGCAAACAGCCACACACATGCAAACACATGATGCACTTGGTGTATCCGTGATGATGGTCGTCCTAGTAATAATGCCGTAGAGCAGGGTTGCCCAACCCTGTTCCTGGAGAGCTACCCTCCTGTAGGTTTTCACTCCAACCCCAGATGTTACTAACCTGATTCATCTTATCAACCTGCTAATTATTAGAATCAGGTGTGCTAGATTAGGTTTGGAGCAGAAACCTACAGGACGGTAGCTCTCCAGGAACAGGGTTGGACAGTCCTGCCATAGAGAGTAAATATGGTAAAACTACAACAAATGGTCAAATCATCCTTGGTTTTTTTGAGGATCAGTACAGTACAGTCGTAGTGTGACCAACCCTTGTCTTTCCAAAACAACAGAGAAACAAGATGATTGGTTCTCTTCCACCACGCCTGCACGCCATTGGCTGCCGGTCGACCCCATGACCTCTGGAGTGACGACAGCACCAAGGACTTTGGATAGTAACCCCTGTGGCCGCTATTGGGACTGCACGGTGTTAGACAGTGGGACTTCGTCCTCACATGGGCAACAGAAGGGGTTCAAAGCAATATGAACGTTTTTGAGACTATTTTTCTTAAATTATTGGGCCATAGTGTTTGTACAGGATGTAAAAAAATATATATTTCATTGTTTTTTTATTGTTGTGTCCTTTTTTGTGATGTATTAACCTTTTTCTCCCTGTTTGAAATAATTGTTGGTTTTGTCCGTTTTGTTTAATTTTTTCACAATAGGGTTATTTTGTAGCTTTCTTTGCTGAGGAAAGTGAATTATTTTTTCAAAGTGATGAGAATCATGTCTTTGTAGGAATATATACAGTTGAAGTCGGAAGTTTACATACACCTTAGCCAAATACATTTAAACTCAGTTTTTCACAATTCATGACATTTAATCCTAGTAAAAATTCCCTGTCTTAGGTCAGTTAGGATCACCACTTTATTTTAAGAATGTGAAATGTCAGAATAATAGTAGAGAGAATGATTTATTTCAGCTTTTATTTCTTTCATCACATTCCCAGTGGGTCAGACATTTACATATACTCAATTAGTATTTGGTAGCATTGCCTTAAAATTGTTTAACTTGGGTCAAACATTTCGGGTAGTCTTCCACAAGCTTCCCACAATATGTTGGGTGAATTTTGGCCCATTCCTCCTGACAGAGCTGGTGTAACTGAGTCAGGTTTGTAGGCTTCCTTGCTCACACACACTTTTTCAGTTCTGCCCAGACATTTTCTGTAGGATTGAGGTCAGGGCTTTGTGATGGCCACTCCAATACCTTGACTTGGTTGTCCTTAAGCCATTTTGACACAAATTTGGAAGTATGCTTGGGGTCACTGTCCATTTGGAAGACCCATTTGTGACAGAGCTTTAACTTCCTGACTGATGTCTTGAGATGTTGCTTCAATATATCCACATAATTAGTGAAGTGCACCAGTCCCTCCTGCAGCAAAGCACCCCCACAGCATGATGCTGCCACCCCCGTGCTTCACGGTTGGGATGGTGTTCTTCGGCTTGCAAGGACCCCCTTTTTCCTCCAAATATAACAATGGTCATTATGGCCAAACAGTTATATTTTTGTTTCATCAGACCAGAGGACATTTCTCCAAAAACTACGATCTTTGTCCCCATGTGCAGTTGCAAACCGTAGTCTGGCTTTTTTATGGCGGTTTTGGAGCAGTGGCTTCTTCCTTGCTGGGCGGCCTTTCAGGTTATGTCGATATAGGACTCGTTTTACTGTGGCTATAGATACTTTTGTACCTGTTTCCTCCAGCATCTTCACAAGGTCCTTTGCTGTTGTTCTGGGATTGATTTGCACTTTTCGCACCAAAGTACGTTCATCTCTAGGAGACAAAACGCGTCTCCTTCCTGAGCGGTATGACGGCTGCGTGGTCCCATGGTGTTTATACTTGCGTACTATTGTTTGTACAGATGAACGTGGTACCTTCAGGCGTTTGGAAATTGCTCCCAAGGATGAACCAGACTTGTGGAGGTCTACAATTGTTTTTCTGAGGTCTTGGCTGAAATCTTTTGATTTTCCCATGATGTCAAGCAAAGAGGCACTGAGTTTGAAGGTAGGCCTTGAAATACATCCGCAGGTACACCTCCAATTGACTCAAATTATGTCAATTAGCCTATCAGAAGCTTCTAAAGCCATGACATCATTTTCTGGAATTTTCCAAGCTGTTTAAAGGCACAGTCAACTTAGTGTATGTAAACTTCTGACCAACTGGAATTGTGATACAGTGAATTATAAGTGAAATAATCTGTCTGTAAACAATTGTTGGAAAAATTACTTGTGTCATGCACAAAGTAGATGTCCTAACCGACTTGCCAAAACTATAGTCTGTTAACAAGAAATGTTTGGAGTGGTTGAAAAACGAGTTTTAATGACTCCAACCTAAGAGTCAAAAGTTTGGACACACCTACTTATTCCAGGGTTTTTCTTTATTTTTACCATTTTTTACATTGTAGAATAATAGTGAAGACATCATATGTGGGAACTCCTTCAAGACTCTTGGAAAAGCATTCCATATGTGTTAATTCATAGTTCTGATGTCTTCACTATTATTCTACAATGTAGAAAATAGTAAAAATAAAGAATAACCCTGGAATGAGTAGGTGTGTCCAAACTTTTGACGGGTACTGTATATATACAGTATATATATATATATATAACAACTCATTAAACTGAGCTTGGATATTTAAGCACAAGATGTGTACTTTGAGTGTAAGCAACATAATGGGATAAATCAATGTGATGGTATTTACCTGATAACATAGCAAACATGAATACTTTAGAGAAGTGTTTAAAGTTTTTTATTGACAAACTCCCATGAGATGCATCATCTTATTTTCAAGGCTGTCCTGATTTCACGAAAACAAACATACAGTAATACTCAATCCAACAAACTCAACCCTGGGAATCCATTATTTCATCTTGAAAAAACTTGATGTAATCTGTCTGACACACACCTATAATTTCTACACCACGGAGAAATAGTACTCCATAGTAAATGTACACCTCTGATGTGAGTATTTTGCAGCATCTGAAAACACATCTCCCGCCACACATTCTAAGTGTTTCCCGTAGACAGCATTGAGGAGCTCAGTCTCACATCTGTATTCTCCCCGAGAGAAAGAAACACTCACATCACTTTTCCAGCTCCATGCCACTGTACTTGGGTGGCATTGTTTGATCCACCCAGGCAGGCCCATCTCTGAGTGATCTGGCCCCAGGTCTGTGGTGTCTGTCTCCAGTCCTGCTGCTACATCAAAGTCCTGGGAGATATCTGATAACCCCCTCTGGCTAAACATTTTACTTTCTTCTTCTAAGTCACTGGAATTCATAGGGAGAGAGGCAAACGTTCTTGTGTTTGATTGAGTGGTGGAGGGAGTTTTCCCAGTTAGTGATAACACACTCTCTCCCTTGGTCTTTCTCTCTCTCCCTCTGTCTCTGAATTTCAATTCAAAGGGATTTATGGCATGGGAAACAGGTTTACATTACCAAAGCAAGTAGAATTTACAATAAACAAAAAGGGAAATAAACAAGGGAAATAAACAATTATAAATTAACAGTAAACTTTAGACTCACAAAGGTTTTTAAATAATATAGATATTTCAAATGTTATACTATTGGCTATGTACAGTGTTGTAAAATTGTGCAAATAGTTGAAGTATGAAAGGGAAAATAAATAAACAGATAAATATAGATTGTATTTACAATTATGTTTGTGCTCAACTGGTTGCCCTTTTCTTGTGGCAACATTTCACAACTCTTGCTGCTGTGGTGGCACACTGTGGTATTTCACCTAATAGATATGGTTGTTTATCAAGATTGGATTAATTTTCAAATTCTTTGTGGGTGTGTGTAATCTGAGGGAAGTATATGTCTCTAATATGGTCATACATTTGACAGGAGGTTAGGAAGTGGAGCTCGGTTTCCACCTCATTTTGTGGGCAGTGTGCACATAGCCTGTCTTCTCATGAGAGCCAGGTCTGCCTACGGTGGTCTCTCTCAATAGCAAGGCTATGCTCACTGAGTCTGTACATAGTCAAAGCTTTCCTTAATTTTGGGTCAGTCACAGTGGTCAGGTATTCTGCCACTGTGTACTCTCTGTTTGGGGCCAAATAACATTCTAGTTTGCTCTGTTTTTTTGTTGATTATTTCCAATGTTTCAAATAATTGTATTTTTGTTTTTTCATGATTTGGTTGGGTCTAATTGTGTTGCTGTCTTGGGGCTCTGTGGGGTCACTCTGTACTGAGGGAACTTTTCTCCAGGTTCACCTCTCTGTAGGTGAGGGTTTTGTTACGGAAGATTTGGGCTTTGCTTTCCTTTAGGTGGTCATGGAATTTAACGGCTCTTTTCTGGACTTTGATAATTAGCGAGAATGATGCTAATTCTGCTCTGCATGCATTATTTGGTGTGTCACGATCGTCGGATATAGAGGACCAAGGCGCAGCGTGGAAGGTGAACATACTTATTTATTAAATGATACACGAACAAAACAACAAATCGATACGTGACGTCCACAGGTGCAAAACATAAACCAACACAGAACAAGATCCCACAAACACTGTGGGAAAACCACCTGACCAAAGAGCTCTCCAAGGATGTCAGGGACAAGATTGTAGACCTACACAAGGCTGGAATGGGCTACAAGATCATCGCCAAGCAGCTTGGTGAGAAGATGACAACAGTTGGTGCGATTATTCGCAAATGGAAGAAACACAAAATAACTGTCAATCTCCC